TGGACTAGGACAGGCATAGGCAAACTCGGCCCTCCAGATGTTTTGAGACTACAATTCCCATCACCCCTGACCACTGGTCCTGTTAGCTAGGGATGATGAGAGTTGTAGTCCCGAAACATCTGGAGGGCCGAGTTTGCCTATGCCTGGACTAGGACCTGGGAAAGCAGGTTTTGAATCCCCACTCAGCCATGAAGTTCACTGGATGACCTTTGGGGAGAGCCATCTATGTCACCTTGATCTCCTTGCAGGAAAAGGTGGGATATAAATTCAATAAAATATTGGAAAGATTTGTGAAATGATTTTGTGTGGATAACAGTCATTGGACAGAGTGTTGGGTGGGAAGCATGTGAGCTCTACATTGGGGAAGGGGTGCTCAGTTTTAAACACCAGCTATTTCAGGAAAGAGTCCCAAAATTGGCTGCATATTGTTTCTGCAAGAGGAGCTTGAGAGCTTTGACCTTGCTGCCTCCATGACTGCCAATCAACAGCCCACCACTGGCACTTCTATACCACCAGGTAGAGTCACCTGGTACAGTAAGATCATAAGCACATAAGAAGAGTTTGCTGGATCAGGCCAATAGAGGCCCATCTAGGGCAGCATTCTGTTCCCACAGTGCCTGACCAGATGCCTCAAAGGGAAAGCCACAAGCAGTATTCGAGCACACAAGTACAGTGGTACCTTGGGTTACATACGCTTCAGGTTACAGACTCTGCTAACCCAGAAATAGTACCTCGGGTTAAGAACTTTGCTTCAGGGTGAGAACAGAAATCGTGCTGCAGCAGTGGGAGGCCCCATTAGCTAAAGTGGTACCTCAGGTTAAGAACAGTTTCAGGTTAAGAACGGACCTCCAGAATGAATTCTTAACCCGAGGTACCACTGTACTCTCCCCTCCACTGGTTTCCAGCAACTGGTATTCAGAAGCATTGCTGCCTCCACAGCACAGCCATTGTGGCTAGGAGACCTCTTTGCCATGAAGTTGTCTAATCCTCTTTTAAACCCATCCAAGGTGGAGGCCATCACTGATTCCTGCTCTGCGGGAGGGAGTTCTGTAGTTTAACCATGTGCTGTGTGAAGAAGTGGCTGTTGCCAATCATTTTTGTTGTGTGCAGGAGAAATGTGATTCCCCCTGCTCCTTCCTCTCCTGCCCCCCCCCCAACAACACACACACACACAAGCACTTGGAAGAGAGCCATTATCTGAATGGTGTTCAGCAATGGTCTTCCCTCCCCCTTTAGGCAACTTTGGTACCCTTGTCTAGCGCAGCTCATCCCTCATCTGGAAAAGCCCCCCTTGAGCATAGCAGACTGTCTTGCATAACCAGACAATGCATCTCTGATCAAATTGCTGGAAAGGAGTGGAGCCCAGCGCCCAGGGAACACGTGCTGAGAGACAATTTCATCCCATGTAGTACCTGTTCCTTTCCTTGTGTGACTGTCAGCGGAAGGCCAAGACAGAATTCAGAAGCCACTTCAGCCCTAGAGACCAACATGTCAGCACTGTGTGCTTGTCTAGCTATGAGGTTAGGCAGTTTTTCACCAGACACTTATGCAAGGCAGCATAGAAAAGTTGCAATGGCAAATGGTGGCAGAATATTGTTTTTTTTGTTGCACTGATATCCCACTTTTTCCTCCAAGACCTCTGTGAGGCAGGTTAGGCTGAGAGTGAACGACTGGCCCAAGATCACCCAGGAAGCTTCATATCTGAGTGGGGATTTGAACCCTGATCTCCCAGGCCCTGGTCCAAAACTCTAACCACTACACCGCACTGGTTGCTTTGACTTTATCACCACCAAACAACACTCTTAGAAGGAGCAGACACCAAGCTCAGTAAGGAAACAAAGCAGTCCTCCCTCTAGGCTTGGGATCCACAAAGCAAGGAAGCAGCTTCAGCAAGCAGCAGCAACCTTGATCGTTAACAGAATCATCCATGAGAGGGATGGAAAAAGTCACCCACCCAGGATGGTCACCCACCAAACTGCCACAGGTCCCACTCACGATAATCCAGCCCAGATGAGACCACTATATCCCAAGGTGTCAAGAGAGAACTTAATCTAGCAACAAAACAGCAGGAACCGTATTTACTCTACTGCAACTGCAATCAAGAGCGCCCAACTCAAGATACTCCACTTGGTTAAGACTCGGTGATCCATCTGTCCTGTTTCAGTTTCTCTGTTTCCAGAATATGCTTCCATTCAGGGATAATTTTATCCAAGCCATGGACACAAAGCTCACAGTGCTATAGGAATCCCCAAAGGGTTGTTTCCAGGAGACCTAGCCCCTAAATCCCATGCCCTACAAAAAGGACATGGGCCTGAAAACCACATTCCCCCCCCCCCCCGAACCAGGAAGAGAAGGGCAACTTCCCCATTTCCACTGGGATCTCTCCCCTTTCACATGATGCTTGAGCCCAACCCATTTTTAAAAAGATCAGCTTCTTCCTCGTTTTGTGACCCTGTTCAGAAGCCAGCCTAAGGACATCCGTGGAATTGATGTCCTGTCAGTTCACAACGAGACACCCTCCATGGATTTTGGACCTGCTCTGCATTGGTGATCCAGGACCTGGTTTGTGCGAAAAACAAAAAACCAATGCCTTTGCCTGCCAAATCTTCTGGACACCCAAGTTATCCCAGGCACCTATTGATGTCTGTGGTCAGCCAGCAAACGGAAAGAAGATCTGGAAATCTAATCATGCAGTTTGTCTGGGTGCCAAACTCCTGTTCCAAAGGTTGCATTTGTAATTGGTTTGCCCCCTGCCTGGATCACCTGTCCTAGTGCCAGCCCACACTTTGCTGCCGTATCAAGAGAAGAAGAAATCCCACACACGCCTCCAGAAGACAGAATATCCCCCCCCCGCCCCCAACAAAGAAAGCCAGAAATGCTCGCTGCCAGCTAGTCAAGGTTGTACGCTCTCCCCCAAACCCACAACACATTCATAAACATGTACGCTCTTTTTCTTTAAAAGTCATATGTGAGGCAACACACACAGAGGACAGCAGATTTGTGGAGCTGGGCTGTTGGTTCTGCTGACAAGTTCCAGCTTTCCTTATCGTACAATAAGGAAATGGTTTCAGTTGCACGCCACTCTTGAAAGGTAGGGCGAGCCAGCTGCGGCTTTGCAACTCAACTTCAACTCCCAGAATCAGCACCACACGAGAGCAGCTTTATTCACCAACCTGGCTGACACCTTCCAGATGTTTTGGACTACAACTCTCACCACCACCACCACCCCAGCCAGCGCAGTGACTCTCCCATTCGTTGAAGCATCACACAGCTGTAGGTTTGTTAGGACACCAAGGGAAGTTGCATAGGAACACAGAAAGCTGCCTTATAGTGAGTCAGACCATTGGTCCATTTTGCTCAGTATTGTCTACACCAACTGGCAGCTGCTCTCCAGGATTCCCAGCAGAGGATCTCTCCCAGCCCCTTCTGGAGATGCTGGCAAGGATTGAGCCCGGGCCCTTCCGCATGCAAGGCAGATGTTCTACCACTGAGCTACAGCCCTTCCCCAACACAGCAGGAGGTTGTTGGAGAGTATTCCAGGTGAAAGGAAGGAGGTGGGCAGTCTAGATCCAGCTGGGTGGGTGGGTCCAGTGGACCCTGGACCTCATCATCAGCCCTGCTGGTCATTGCTGTTGCCAACGGCCCAATCCTGGCCACCATCTCCTTACACTGCGTTGTTTGCATGCACACACATTTGTGCAGAGAAAGACAACATGACGACTGGGGTCAGTCTCAGCCTCCGAAAGCATTGCATTTGGCAAGGGCAGTGGAAAGAGAAGAGGCAGAGGAGGGGAAAGGCTGGGGGGCTCAGCAGGCCTGAAATGACACACACACACACACACACACACACACACCCTTCCTCCATTGAGAACTGAGGCTCTCTCTGTCACAGCACCAGTCACTAGCCCAAGAGGCAAATGGGGAGTGGCCAGGTTTTGGCAGGAGGGCAGGCATGAGTTGCATCCCCCAGTGTGGCGAGGATTGCTCTCTCATGCCCAGTTATACCCAGGATGCCCAGAGAGGGGCTCCTGGGGCCCCTGCGCCTGTTCCAGCTGGTCTTCCTGCCACAGACCTTTGCGAGGCTGGACCTTCTCTTGAGGGAGACCCTTCCTTTCCCTTCCCCTCTCCGGTTCTGCACAGACATCTGGCATTCTGGGGGTGGGCAAGTGCTTAGCTCCCACTGAGGTCATTTTCTAGTCCAGCAAAGCACTTAAGGCGGTCTCTTCACGAGGCGCTGGCCGCCCGCAGCCTGGTGTCAGCATTTGGGGAGAGATGGAGGTGATCCTGCTTCTCCCCTCATATATATGGGTGGGTGGGCAGGAGACACCCCCTCCCTCTCCGTCGCCCTGGCCTATTTCTCCAACTCGCCCTTCAGGACACCCCCGCCCGCCCCTAAACCTAGGACTCGACCTGGGGCAACCCCAGGAGACTGGCCTCTCAGTACCCTCCAGCAGGCGGGCGAGGCGCACTTTTATGCCCCCCAGCTCCTAAGCCAGGGAGGTTGATTCTTCCGGACAAAAAGAGAGGACGCCCCGCACGCCCCGCCAACCAAATACACCACCCTCCCACCCCCACAGCTCCGGTTGGCCTGGAAAGGCAAAGATGACAATGCTTCCCGCATCCCCCGCGCTCTCCTTCTTTCAACTAAACTTTCGGCGGGGGCTCTCCAACCCGACCTTGGCGGCGGGGAAGCAGCTCCGATCAGAAGCGCTGCGGTGAAGCAGCGGACCCCCCCCCCCATACTCCCCCCGCCAGCCATGTCCCATTTCCTGCCGCGCTCCCAGCTGGCAAAGGCAGCGCTGCCCCCCACCAGCTGAGACGCCCCCTACCAGGCAGATGCGCCCCTCCAACACACACCCGTCCTCCCTTCACACAAGAAGACCCACCAGCGCGCCCCCGTTCCAGTCTTCCCCCACCCCGCTCTCAGTCCAGGCTGGGGCGCCCCTCCGCCTCGCCGTCCAGGGTCCAACCTTCCCCGGCGCACCTGCTCGGTCACTCACCCAGGCAGAGGAAGAGGCAGAGCACGCCGGCGGCGATCATGGCAGGCAAATCGTCCCCGGGACCGGCGGCGGCTCCGCCAAGGCAGCAGCAGCAGCAGCTCCCGCGCTCCGTGCGCTCTCACGGCTCCGTCCGCCCGTCCTGCCGCCGCCGCCGCCGCCCTGCTCCTCAGTCCCCGCGAGGCGGAGGCGCCGTCCGCCGCTCCGCCGGCAGCATCTTGCCTGCCTGTCTCTTCCACGACGACGGAGCGGAGCTCAGAGCGGAGGCTCCATGCCGCGCCGCCTCTCCGCGCTCTCCGCCTGCCCGACGACGACAACGAGGACGGCGCTCGGCTCGCTCTGGCGGCCGCGGGAAGCAGCCGCAAAAGTGGCCGGCAGGAGGCGGAGGAGGCGGAGCTGTCCGCGGTGCTTCGCCCGGCCTCCGCGCCCGCTCCTCGGCAGCCTCTCCGCAGCCCGCCGGAGCCCAGACGTGCAGAGCTCTCCCCCGGCGGAGGCGCGGGCGGGTGGGGACCTTTTGAGGCGGAGGGGAGGCCCTTGGTGGCTCCGCCAGGGAGGGAGCGAGGGCGGGGCACAGCCTCGTCCGGGCGCGCCGTCCAACTTGGCCCTGAAGACGTGCCGCCCGGGATGCCGCTACCTTCTGCCCCAGCAGCGGCGATGCCTCCCCTCCGAGTAGCGGCGCAAGGGAGGCGGCGAGAGGCGGATGCAGCGCGGCGAGGAGGAGTCGGATCGCGCTCCGTCGAGCCTCGCTTTCGCAGGACCTACCTGACCTCCCACCCCACCTCCCTGGGACGTCTCCAGGGACCTGGAGCTGCCGCCCCAAACTGAGATCGTGCCTGGCGGTGGCGTCCTGCCGCGCTGGCGCCAAACGGCCCCGAGGGCATCTCCGAGGTGCATACAAGCAAAGGAACGCCCAAAGACCTCTGTGTGCGTGCAGAGTGTGTTTCCCTCCCAGCTGATTTCACGCAGCCTGCTCTCTCCACGTTCATTTTTAGGAATGCTATCTTTGCATTCATATCCCATAGGATCTCACAACTGCAGCCTCCACCACCTCATAAGGAACTCTGGCCTGTCCCATCAGTTCAACAACCTTCCTGTTGGAAAGTTTGCCCCAGGTAGAGGATCTTGTCTTTTCTAGATCTGACCTGTTGCCCATTCTCTCTAAAGAGAGGGATGTCTGCGTGGAGAGGGAGGCAGATAGGCGGAGTGCAGATTTGGGAAGTGGGCCTACTGGTAGGGAGGTGGTTCTGAGAGAGGCCTTTTCAGCCTCCTCTAAGTCACCTGCCACCCCTAGCTGAGAAATCTGGGTATAGGTAGCCCTACAGATGCATGAAGTTGAGGCTCCAATACTTTGGCCACCTCATGAGAAGAGAAGACTCCCTGGAAAAGACCCTGATGTTGGGAAAGATGGAGGGCACAAGGAGAAGGGGACGACAGAGGATGAGATGGTTGGATAGTGTTCTTGAAGCTACAAACATGAGCCTGACCAAGCTGCTGGAGGCGGTGGAAGACAGGAGTGCCTGGCGTGCTCTGGTCCATGGGGTCACGAAGAGTTGGACACGACTAAACAACAACAACAACAACAGATGCATGAGTGTCTCCCAGCGGACTGGTGAGCAGCTGCTACTGGCCACAGGCGGCTCTGAGGGCTCTCAGGTGGCCAGGCAGCCTCAGCTGAGACAGGGCCATGATTCTGCCCAACCTGCAAACCACTGGGCCTTTCCCCCTGGCCTTTCTGGGTGGCTCATTTCTCCAGGCCTTAGAGTCATAGAATGATAGAGTTGGAAGGGCCACCAAGGGTCAGCTAGCAATGAAGGAACCCAGCTGTATCCCTGGGGACAGAATGCATCAACCAAAGAGGCTAGATTTGCCCCACCATCTCTTTCATCCTGTGCTTCTTAGATGGGTCTCCCGGCCACCATCCTTGGAGGGGGCTCTGAGCTCCCGCTGCTGCTCCAGCTTTCCCAACCTGCCTGGGTCTGTGGAATATACTCGGAGTTGAGAGTGGATTTCATGCTCTTTATTCAGGTCATATTGGTGAGGGGGAATGGAAGCTCCCCCAGACTGTCTGCTTTATATACATTATTTACACAATGGGCCCCACGTGATTGGCTAATTCCGGGATTCTCCTGTAGGCCAATCAGGTTGTGGATTCACTTCCACCTGGAGCTGGATTGGGTGGCTCCTGTGGACCAATCAGACTGCTGCATTGTGGATCCTATTGCTCTAGGACCAATCAGACTGCTGCATTTTGGATCCTATTCAACTCAGTACATAACACCCTGTGTGACATTGAGGCTGATATTGAGGCTGACATTGAGCCTGGGGTACCCTGCATCTTGCGGGAGATCCTGCTGACTCTCTCCCCACTTCCCATGAGAATTCTTGCCCAGGTGCCAAGATGATGCGGCAGACACAGATCCCTCCAAGCGACCTCTGTCCCTTCTTGGAGCTGGCTAGGACAGGAAGGGGAGGGGAAGGGGCAGAACATCTGCCACGCATGTAAAAAGGTTCCAGGTTAAATCCCCAGCATCATCAGGTAGGGTTTGGAGAGACCCCTGAATCTGAAACCCTGAAGAGCTGCTGGTGGTCAGTGTAGACAATACTGAGCAAGATGAACCAATGTCTGACTCCATATAAGACAGCTTCCTATGTTCCCAGCACAAGGTATTCCATTTGTGTGTGTGTGTGTGGGGGGGGGGGAGAGAGAGAGAGAGAGAGAGAGAGAGAGAGAGAGAGAGAGAAGGGGGGGAGAGAAATTAATTATTGTTGTTTTTGTTGTTTGTTTGTTTATACCCTGCCCATCCGGCTGGGTTTCCCCAGCCACTCTAGGCGGCTCCCAACAGAATATTAAAAGCACAATAAAATATCAAACATTTAAAGTTCCATAAACAGGGTTGCCTTCAGATGTCTCCTAAAAGTCAGATAGTTTTTTATTTCCTTAACATCTGATGGGAGGATGTTCCACAGGACGGGCACCACTACCGAGAAGGCCCTCTACCTGGTTCCGTGTAACTTTGCTTCTTGCAGCGAGGGAACCACCAGAAGGCCCTCGGAGCTGGACCTCAGTGTCCGGGCAGAACAATGGGGGTGGAGACGCTCCTTCAGGTATACTGGGCCGAGGCCATTTAGGGCTTTAAAGGTCAGCACCAACACTTTGAATTGTGCTTGGAAACATACTGGGAGCCAATACAGTGGTACCTCGGGTTACAGACGCTTCAGGTTACAGACGCTTCAGGTTACAGACGCCGCTAACCCAGAAATAGTGCCGCGGGTTAAGAACTTTGCTTCAGGATGAGAACAGAAATCGCACGGCGGTGGCGCGGCAGCAATGGGAAGCCCTATTAGCTAAAGTGGTGCTTCAGGTTAAGAACAGATCTCCAGAACGAATTAAGTTCTTAACCCGAGGTACCACTGTATAGGTCTTTCAGGACCAGTGTTATGTGGTCCTGGCGGCTACTCCCAGTCACCAGTCTTGCTGCTGTATTCTGGATTAATTGCAGTTTCCGGGTCACCTTCAAAGGTAGCCCCACATAGAGCATGTTGCAGTAGTCCAAGCGGGAGATAACCAGAGCATGCACCACTCTGGAGAGACACTCTGCAGGCAGGGAGGGTCTCAGCCTGTGTATCAGATGGAGCTGGTAGACAGCTGCCCTGGACACAAAGTCAGGAGTCAGGAGTGTGGGAAGAAAGGAATCAGTGGTACAATGCCTGGCTGAAAGGGATAGAGGGAGGGCAGAACTGGGGTACCCTTAAAATTAGCCCTGCTCAAAGTAAGTCAGCCCCACATGACCAAGCAGGCTTATGGGGCCACCCACTGGAAAGCTGAAATAGTGGAAGGAGGCACTCATGTCCCCAAGGGAATTCCCAGCAGAGTGAAATTTCTCAACTGTCATGGACGTAGCATGATGGTGGATACTTCTTAAAACACACAACACAGTTTTGCAAAAACTTAATTCGAACAAAATTTTGATCTTTCATGCAAGGCTTTCTTTCTTTTGCAGCCTCATGGAGTGAGGGAGCTTTGTTCTTTCTCTCTCTACTTTGCAGAGGAAATATAACTAAAGGTTCAGAATTCGTTTTTGTTTTCTTTTGTTTAATATTCATCAACTGATTAACAAAAAAAGTGCGGAGATAACAAAAAGAAAGAAAACAAAGAATGAAAAGGCTGCAGCGTTTGGGACATGAAATATACTCAGAGTCGAGAGTGGATTTCATGCTCTTTATTCAGCTCATAGTGGTGAGGAGGAAAGGAAGTTCCTCCAGAATGTCTGCTTTATATACATTATTTACACAATGGGCCCCACGTGATTGGTTAATTCAGGGATTCTCCTGTAGGCCAATCAGGTTGTGGATTCACTTCCACCTGGAGCTGGATTGGGTGGCTCCTGTGGACCAATCAGACTGCTGCATTTTGGGTCCTATTGTTCTAGGACAAATCAGACTGCGGCATTCTGAATCCTATTGTTCTAGGACCAATCAGACTGCTGCATTCTGAATCCTATTGTTCTAGGACCAATCAGACTGCTGCATTTTGGATCCTATTGTTCTAGGACCAATCAGACTGCGGCATTCTGAATCCTATTGTTCTAGGACCAATCAGACTGCTGCATTCTGAATCCTATTGTTCTGGGACCAATCAGACTGCTGCATTTTGGATCCTATTCAACATAACAGGACTGTTTAGAGAAAAAAGCATATACTGGTAAGAGGTGACATGATAGAAGTTTATAAAAGCATGCCTGACATGGAGAAAGTGGATAGAAAAAAGTTCAAAACACTAGAACTCATGGATCTCCAATGAAGCTGAAGGTGGGAAGATTCAGGACAGATAATAGAAAGTATATTTTCATGTAACACATAAACTATGGAACTTGCTATCAGTGATGGCAGCATGCGGCCAAATCTTGCTGGCCATAGTGAGAACAGGATGTTGGACTAAAGCGGCCGTTGGTCTGATCCAGCAGGATCATCTTATGTTCTTAGGTTCTTGTTTGCTACTTTTGTTCCACCCCATCTGGGGAACATTGCCCTTTGCAGGATAAAAGCAGCCTGTCTCAAAGTGCGTGCCTGCTTTTCCTCACTGATGCTTTGTCAGTTGATAAGCCATTTGCCTCTTTGACCCTTTCCATAAGGTAGCACGCTCCACTCCTCCAGGGACAAAAATGCACGTTTCCCCCCATTGCAGGGTTTCTTCCCCTGCTTAAAACATTGTGAACAGACTTCCCTCCTCACGACTCCAGACACAGCAGGGTTGCATGTCGAGGCAAGAGATCAACGCTGCCTCCCACCGCCGTGCCAGATTAGGTCAACTCCAAGGGAAGCACTAAAAATAAATGTGGTGTTTGTTTTCCTTTCCATCTTTCCAATTAGGAAAGGTCCTAATTTGGCAGCAGCTCCTTCTGCTGTGGTTCCCCTGGCCCTGGCCTTCATGGAAAGAAAGAGAGCTTGGAAGAGGCCCCTTCAGGCTGGAGCTTTTAACTGGTGTGGGCTAAGCCATTGCGGCTGCCTTTGGGCCAGAGCTCCCTTTGAAAGCCTGCTGAGATGTCCTTCTTTACGCAGAGAAGATCTAGAACAGGGCGGTCCAACTTTTCATACCAAGTGTGCCAAAAGAACACTTGGACACAGAACCCATAGGTTGCACACTGCCTGGCAGTGGGGTGGAGAGCGAGGCCGAAATTTGATGCCCCACCCCCAGCCTTCATTCTGCCTCCCCAAAGCATCCCTCCCACACCCTTCCCAAAGCTAAAAGGTAAAGGGACCCCTGACCATTAGGTCCAGTCGCAGATGACTCTGGGATTGCACGCTCATCTCGCTCTATAAGCCGAGGGAGCTGGCATTTGTCTGCAGACAGCTTTCGGGTCATGTGGCCAGCATGACTAAGCCGCTTCTGGACAACCAGAGCAGCACACGGAAACACCGTTTACCTTCCTGCTGGAGCGGTACCTAATTATCTACTTGCACTTTGACGTGCTTTCGAACTGCTGGGTTGGCAGAAGCAAGGACCGAACAATGGGAGCTCACCCCATCGCAGGGATTTGAACCACCAACCTTCTGATTGGCAAGTCCTAGGTTCTGTGGTTTAGACCACAGCGCCACCCGCGTCACCACATCCTTCCCTCCCACATCCTTCCCAAAGCTAGGAAAGCACTAACTAGGCCATGGGTAGGCAAACTAAGGCCCGGGGGCCAGATCCAGCCCAGTCGCCTTCTCAATCTGGCCTGCGGACGGTCTGGGAATCAGCGTGTTTTTACATGAGTAGAATGTGTCCTTTTATTTAAAATGCATCTCTGGGTTATTTGTGGGGCATAGGAATTCGTTCTTTCCCCCCCTTCAAAATATAGTCTGGTCCTCCACAAGGTCTGAGGGACAGTGAACCGGCCCCTTGCTGAAAAAGTTTGCTGACCCCTGAACTAGGCTTTGGGAAGGAGGTGGGAGGACTCTAGGACCCTATCAGTGCCTTGTGTCTCCTTCCCAAAGCCCAGCTCCTCGCTTACCTCACTTTGGGAAGGCAGCGCAAGGGTTGCCTGGTGTGCGGGGTGCATCAAAAGTTGCTGAGGACCACAAAAAAAGGCCTCGGGGGCCACATCCGGCCCTTGGGCCACGTATTGAACCACCCTGATTTAGAAGAAAGTTGCACATGGAGAGGTCCTGTGTTGCAGGACAAGGAAATACTTCCTGCCTGAAGCCCCAAAGGCCCATCACCAGAATAAAAAATGCTGAGCTGGGCAGATCAATGGCCTGACTCAGGACAAAGCAGCTCCTTCTCTTTGCAGCACAGAGTGGTTGGTTTCTGGATATTTCGGGGCGACTGTAAAGGTAAAGGTAAAGGTACCCCTGCCCGTACGGGCCAGTCGTGTCCCACTCTGGGGTTGTGCGCCCATCTCACTTAAGAGGCCGGGGGCCAGCGCTGTCCGAAGACACTTCCGGGTCACGTGGCCAGCGTGACAAGCTGCATCTGGCGAGCCAGCGCAGCACACGGAACGCTGTTTACCTTCCCGCTAGTAAGTGGTCCCTATTTATCTACTTGCACCCGGGGGGTGCTTTCGAACTGCTAGGTTGGCAGGCGCTGGGACCGAGCGACAGGAGCGCACCCCGCCACGGGGATTCGAACCGCCGACCTGACGATCGGCAAGTCCTAGGTGCTGAGGTTTTACTCACAGCGCCACCCGCGTCCCATACGGGGCGACTGTATGAGTCATCAATTCAATGCTATTCCATACTTGGCTATGTACACATTAGTGGCTGAAAACGCAGCAAGTCCTTTCCTGGGCTTCAAGTTGTGTTTTCATGTCACTGTACACATCAGAGAGAGGAGTCTTCACCCAGTGCTCACAACCTTTCTGTATTCTGTATTCCCTGCCTACACATTACTCGCCCCCACCTGTGTCATTTGCACATGTTCAATGGCCGTCTCAAATGTACACACCTCACCTTAACTGCAAAGTGAATGTGGCTCAAGTTTTCCTTTTGGAATGAAGTTGGTTGGAGGGCAAAGAACCAAACGGAAGCATTTCTCGAGAAACAACAGGATAGCTCTTTTATGTGAAAATGGGGGGGAGGGGTTGCCAAATTTTGTCCTTACTCAGGGCGCCATATTGCCAGAGTTAAACCCTGTACACTTTGGCCTGATCTAGCAGTTTCTTCTCATGTACTTAAAAAAAGGTAAAGGGACCCCTGACCAGTCGTCAGGGGTTAGGTCCAGTTGTGGCCGACTCTGGGGTTGCGGTGCTCATCTCGCTTTACTGGCCGAGGGAGCCAGCGTACAGCTTCCTGGTCGTGTGGCCAGCAGGACTAAGCCACTTCTGTTGAACCAGAGCAGCGCACGGAAACTCCGTTTATCTTCCTGCCGGAGCGGTAGCTATTTAACGTATTTTTCGCTCTATAAGACGCACCAGACCACAAGACGCACCTAGTTTTTGGAGGAGGAAAACAAGAAAAAAATATTCTGAATCTCAGAAGCCAGAACAGCAAGAGGGATCGCTGCGCAGTGAAAGCAGCAATCCCTCTTGCTGTTCTGGCTTCTGGGATAGCTGTGCAGCCTGCATTTGCTCCATAACACACACACACATTTCCTCTTACTTTTTAGGAGGGAAAAAGTGAGTCTTATAGAGCAAAAAATACGGTATCTACTTGCACTTTGATGTGCTTTCGAACTGCTAGGTTGGCAGGAGCAGGGACCGAGCAATGGGAGCTCACCCCGTCACGGGGATTCGAACCCCTGACCTTCTGATCTGCAAGCCCTAGGCTCTCTGGTTTTACCCACAGCACCACCCGCGTCCCTTTTTTCATGTACTTACAAGGAATCAAAAGCCAAGGAGTGGAAGCATGCTGGAGTCATGTGTACGCAGCCCGCATCTCAACTCTTTTCCTGGATCTCCTCCACAAAGCTTCCAGGCAGTATTTTTACCTTTCCTTCCAGCTGGGAGGCAACAGAAGCTCCAGGGGGCAGAGAGATCCATTATTCATTATTATAACAAAAGCCTTGGACTGATTTCTTTCCTCCACTAACACAGACAAAAGTGTTCAAAATCTATTATCACAGAGTCTGCTCTGTTGGGTCGCTTTGGCCTGATAAAGACATCACTTTAATAAGGATTTTGGTTTGTTTTCCCCCCCTTGTGGGCCAACATAACTATTTTTAGTTTATGTGTGACCGGAAAACATTGTGTCTGGGATTTATTCTGAAGCAAAGTATGTTTGAATCTGGCCAGAGTGGAAGGACCAAGTTTTCCCATTTGGCAGTGGAAATTTCCAAGGAACACAAGATCCCTTCCTTTCCTACTTCAGACTCCAGAAAGGATGGGCAATGAGTTTTGAGTACAAATGCAAGAGGGAGAAAAGAGATGGTCACCTCCCTGGGGTGGAGGCATGCGTGAGATTAAAGAAATGATTG